GAGATTATAGGTATGCAACACTGCACCTAGCCTCAGATTAATTTTTGGTATTAGCAAAAGTAGAAGTCGTTGTGATTTCAAAAAACTTACTTGTCCTATTGCTAACTGTAAATAACTTTCTGATTTTTGTAGCTCAAAAGTGTCATGATCTACAAAGTATGAATAATCACCTGGAAGCTGTGCTGAAAGAAAAGAGGTCCCTCAGGCAAAGACTGTTGAAACCCATGTGCCAGGAAAACTTACCTTTGGAGGCTTTTTATCACAGGTTAGACTGAGAAGAAGAAATGAATACTTGTACATGTTTTCTGAGGGTGAACCTTAAAGCATAATTCACTAAACAATGTGTTATTGATGTGTTGGTTAACATTATTAATATTGATACATTAAACCAGAAAGAAAAATCTTTGCTTTAAAAGAAGTATCACTATGGTGAAAAGAAAGAACTTCCATTTGCCCATTGTGTTTTGGGAATTATAAATTATGATTTTAGTGAAAAAGTAGATCCTTAACACTTGGCAAGGTGGGTAAAAATTGGTTTTATTACATATAGACTATTTTCTGTGAAATAAATGTATTGTTGAATTAATGTTACCTATACATAAAAATTCTGTACATAACATGGACAGAAGAAAAAAATGTCAATTAATAAAGGAAAAACGGGGCTGGGGCCGTAGCTCAGTGGCAGAGCACTTGCCTTGCATGTGCGAGGCACTGGATTTGATCCTCAGCACCACATAAAAATAAACAAATAAAATAAAGGCATGCTGTCCATCTACAACTACAAAAAAAGAAAAGAAAGAAAGGAAAAACAAGTTGGGTGCCATGGAGCACGCCTGTCATCAAGGCATGAGGATCATGAGTTCAAAGCCAGCCTCAGCAAAGGCGAGGGGCTAAGCAACTCAGTGAGACCCTGGTTCTAAATAAAATACAAAATTGGCTGCAGATGTGACTCAGTACTTGAGTGACCCTGAGTTCAATCCCTGGTACCTTAAAAAAGAAAGGAAAGGGAAAACTGGGTCTTAGGTTATGGCTCAGGGGTAGAGCACTTGCTTAGCACATGTGAGACACTGTGTTTGATCCCCAACACCACATAAAAAAATAAAAGTTATCCATCTACAACTAGAAATATTTAAAAAAAAAGAAAAAACCAGATTCTGGTCTCATCTCAACTGAGCAAAATGATAACAGTTTTGCTTCAGTTTTCCAGTCTGCAGAATAGGGATTATTTCTGTTGCTGTCTTTCTCATAGAAATACTATAAGTATAAACTTGAAGATCTAGGTTATGATTAAAATAATAATACAATAGTAAAGCAAGCATCTGGGAATCTGATTTCTTTCTCTATCATTGCCTCACTAGCTGACCCTGAGCAAATCATTATCTCCTCTCTACCCCTCTACCTCTCCCTTTAAGATGGGATCTTGTCATGTTGCCCATGCCGGCCTTCAACTTGCTATCCTCTTGCCTCAACTTCCTAAGTAGCTGGGATTATCTTTTTTTTTTTTTTTTGTACTTAGGATTGAACCCAGGGGTGCTCAGCCACTGAGCCACATCCCCAGTCTTTTTATATCTTTTATGTAGATACAGGGTCTCTCTGAGTTGATAAGTGCCTTGCTAAGTTGCTGAGGCTGGCTTTGAACTCAAGATCCTCCTGCCTCAGCCTTCTGAGCTGCTGGGATTATAGGCATGCACCACTGCACCTTGAAGATTATCTTCTCTTAAGTGGCAGAATTTTTTTATTTTTAGTAAAATAACAGACATACAAACCCCATTCTTGTATTCAGTATCTAGCCATTAATGTGTATGTTATACTACATTAAAGAAGAGCTAATGATTTTAGGCATTTAATGATTTTAAGCATTTATTACCTTAATGTGAAGACTACTTCAATGTAATATAGTTTTCCTTATTGTCTTCTCTTCACTGAAAATGAGTAGATTGAAATGGAATGAGATTTTATCTAGGGAAATTCCTTCTGTGTGAACATTACTATCATTATCTACCATTAGGTTGGGTTCCAGATATGATGATATTAATGTCATATTTTTCTGTTTTTCTATTTGGATAACAAGTTATATGTTTCTTCAAGTGAAAGAGACGGACCTTTCTTTATCACTGATACTTCTAGGAATTCAGAAAGTTTGTTATTGACACATTAAGTTGATTGTAATTCTTTATTTTAAACTAAAGTCCTAATTAAAGGAAAAGAAGGGAGACACAAAATCATTAAATTTTAAAAATAGTTGGATTTTTTTCTCACTCCTTCAGATATATGGTACATTTGCTAGAGTTGGCTGTGTGTTTCATTGAGAGATTGGAAACCCATCTTGAAACAATTAGAAATATCCCTCATTTAGATGCAAATCTAAAGAAAATGGTGAGTATTAATACAGCTTTCTTTAGTTCTTTTATACTTGAATATCAAATGTGTGATCTCCTTGTTTAACTCCCCCGGCCCCCGGACCCCATGGTACTATGGATTGAACCCAGACTTGTGCATGCTAGGTAAGTACTCTACCACTGAACTACATCCCCAACCTATCCTCCCTCCCTTCTTTTCTTTCTTTCTTTATTTTGAGGGGTGTCAGGGATTAAAATCAGTAGCACTCGACCACTGAGCTACATTCCCTGCCCATTTTGTATTTTATTTAGAGATAGTATCTCACTGAGTTACTTAGCACCTTGCTTTTGCTGGTTGATTGCCCCTGGGTTCAATCCCTGGTACCAAAAATATAAATAAATCCAAACTATAAAACTCATGACCTGCCACTATTACATCACCACCTTTAAAAAAGGACATTTTAAACAAAGGCTTGTATGTTCATGAAATCATCTTAGAGTGCATGTATTGTAAATACATAAATTTCCATGCGTATTTTTACATGGTAGCTACTAGAAGGAATGATGACTTCTAAAAACCAATCTAGACAGATACCTTTTTATTCCAGCTGCTTCTCCCAGGAGTCTTTTTTTTTTAAAGAGAAAGAAAATTTCAATATTTATTTTTCAGTTTTCAGTGGACACAACATCTTTGTTTGTATGTGGTGCTGAGGATCGAACCCGGGCCGCACGCATGCCAGACGAGCGTGCTACCGCTTGAGCCACATCCCTAGCCCTCCCAGGAGTCTTAAGAGCTGCTGTGCACTGTCACATTCATTACAGCCTCCTTCCTAAGCCTGTGACCCATGACTTAAATGTGATACATCTTCTGCTTTAGCCTTGCTTTTTCATTGATTCACTTCCAAGAGTGAATGGTGGCAGGTCTTCCACATCAGTGCTACCAGCCATTTCCATAACCTTGGCTAGAAGGTCTTTATTATTTATTAACTGCAACTCAGGAAAAGATGGTTGACCCAGACCATGGAGAGGGACAACAGCTAGCCTAGGCAGCCACCAGTGTTAGGTGGGTCATGGTAATTCGGCTGGTAGTGCAGGATGAATTCCATGTAGGCCTTCCATTTCTTCTTGTTCTCTGAGCAGGAGCAGAACTTGGTGAAGTTGGCTACCTGCTGCACCCTGGAAACCAGCTTCTCCACCATGGTGGCCACCTCACCACCCACAATGGCTTACACTGCCCTAAACTAATTATTTTTAAAGTCAAAAAGCTTGGCATCATTTTTCTTTAGAAGCTATTCCAACATTAAATTGAGTATATATTATCTTCATCATGCAAGGGCTATGCTACATGCATGTATCAAGAAAAATAGGTTAGACTGATCTCTGCTCTCAAATTCTCAGTTTGGTGAGACAGCTAGTAAGATTCACACTGTTTTATAGGAGTATGTTTGCATAAGTTCAGCATAACATTATAAAGAGATACTGTCTATTGTACACAGAAAAAGGAGTGATTACTTCCAGGGTAGGGGAATTGAGAGCAGAATAGGATATAGGAAGACTTTAAAAAGTTTTATATAGGAATTAGTAGAGAGCTGAATCTTAAAGAATCTATGAAATTTAGACACTCCTCAGGAAGAACAGTTGGACCAAAGCAACAATGTCTCACATGAAAGAGAGCACAAGTAGTTGGGGGGAGAAAATGACACTTTACTTTGACTGATGCCTAAGGTATCAGGGCTGATAACCATTGAATGAATTGTTTTGTTTTTTTAGTGAAGGATACAGAAGAGTCACTTGGTTAGAGAACGGTACCTTAATCACATTCACATAGAAAATATTGAATAGGGTAGACAGCCTTGCTACTCACATTATGGACAGCATCATAATTTTCCAGAATTACAGGTTTGGAGGTTAGATCAGTGGTAGAGTATTTGCCTAGCATGTATGAAGCCTAGGTTCTATCTCTAGCATGAAAGAAAGAAAGAGAAAGGGAAGCGGAGATAGTCATTCACCCTACACTTTCAGAGTCAGAATCTGCATTTTAATAAGTTCCTCAGGGGATTCCTGTGTATATTAAGATCTGATCTGCTCTGAATTAGAGGAAAAGTCAAGAGAAACTTGGAGACTAAATATAGTATTTTTATAAAGGATTTAAAGCACAGGAATACAAAGGATTGTATAGAGTTTTTGTTTTGTTTTAGTTTTTTTTGTAGTCACATTTCTAGATCTTTGCTACATTTGCAAAGGGACACATCCAAGGTAATGAAGTTGTAAACCTATCTGATTTGAGTAGGGTCAAGTATGGATTAAAGAAGTTAATGAGGGTGGCTTTTTTTGGCACATGTAGTAAATGTTCAGTCATTGTTGAACTGCAGTTAAATTGAGTTTGAGAAATTGTAAATCCAGATGAAGATTGCCAATGGCCTTAAACATGGGTCTGCATTTTAGCAAGGAGGTTAGATTTTAACTATTTAGAGATTGAGGATCATTGTTGTTGAGTTGATTATTGAGGACAAAGAAGAGGTGAACTCCCAAAGAGAAGGTGGGTATTATAAGATGAGGAGAGCATAGTTTTAAGGAGCTTTTGCAGTAAGGGGCTAGAAAAAGGTCAGATGTTAACTTTTGGTGTAACTGTTTGTGATCTAATGATAATGAAATAATGACAGACATAATTTCTATTTTCCCTTTCGTTTAAATATTACAGAGCAAGGCTTTAACCAAGATGGATGTTTTGGTGACTGAGACAGAAGAACTGGCAGAGAATATACTTAAGTGGCGAGAACAACAAAAGGAGATTTCTTCTTGTATCCCCAAAATATTAGCTGAAGAAAGTTACCTTCAAAAATATGATATTATAATTTCTCCTTTACCTTTTACTTCTAAAGGTCATGCCCAAACAACTAATATCAAGTGATCATCAATTTTATTTTCCCTAATTATGTATAGTCATATACAGTCCATTTCTAGTTGATTGTGACTTGAGTATTTTAAGGCTTTGCTGCTAGCACTACTGAAACTGCCCGCAGTATATTGGAGTACCAAAATTTCAAGTTCATTAGGACCTGACTTCTTTCTGATTAAAAGACTCAAAAACCAAGTTTTATTTGGAAACTTATTCAAACAAGAGACTGTTTTAAAAAGACAGATTTAGGGGCTGGGGTTGTGGCTCAGCTCTACCGCTGAGCCTGTGTTTGATCCTCAGCACCACATAAAAATAAATAAATAAGATAAAGGTATTGTTTTCAACTACTAAAAAATAAATATTATTACAAAAGAGAGATTTACAAGATAAACTTAAATGGAATATTTGATGGCATTAAGGAACTGATGTACTTGGGTATGATAATGGTATTGTGGTTATATTGAAGGTACATATTTATGAGTAAAATAATGTTTTAAAATACAGACTACTGTTGAAATCAAGTTCTCCAGTCTGAAAATAGAAATATTAATGTGTCAGTTCTTTTTATTGCAAAGCACAGTGAGTAGAAAAGCCATCTAGGATACCAGGGTTCCAAGTGAGCTTGAATTATAAACCAGTTATCCCAGTACCTTATTCTAGATAGATGAGAAAAAGGGGGGCTTACCTGACTCGTTTTCTACTACTAGAGTACTAAAATAGCCACCTAACTGGTCTCTCTGGGCTTCTACCCTTACTTCTCAGGCTAGTCTCAAAACAGCAGTCAGAGTAATTCTTTAAATATATAAACCAAATCGTTTTGCTCTTTTCCTCAAAACTTTCTTATGGTTTCCCAGCTCATTAAGAAAAAAAATCCAGACTACCATGCCTTCATGATACTTCCATGATTTTCCTCCTCTCACTCTATTCTATCTGCCCTGGCTTTCTTCCTATTGGTTTTAACGTTTTAGTCTGTCTCTAAGCTCAGGCCTGTGTCTGCCCTTCTTCCAGACTATAGCCCAACTCTTCTTTATATACTTCATATTTTTCTTAGGTGTCACTGAAGTCTTTCCGGGTCATATTATCTGAAGTTTCATGGCCCTTTTCTACTCCCTGTCCTGATTTATTTTTTATTATTAGCTAATCTGATATACATTTTAGTTAAATTGCTTATCATCAGTCTCTCTATCCCAGCTCCAATGAGCCTAGAAGTTTTGCCTATTTTCTTCACTTCTTTGTCCCAAGCCTACTCTGATAGGAGCTTACTTAGGATATATTTGTTAAACAATTGAGTATCTGCATGACTTCCTTTCTTGTTTTCTTCAGATTTATTCAAATGTCCTCTTGTCAGTGAAGGCTTTCTGGGAGATGCTGTGCAAAACAGCACTTTTCACCCTTCATATACACGAAGGCTATTTACTATGTTTTCTTTTTCTTGTTTATTTTTGCATACTGGAGATTGAACCCGGTGGGGGCGCTATACCACGGAGATACGTGCGCAGCCCCCCCAACCCTGCCTTTTTAAAAATTAAAAAAAAAAAAATTTTTTTTTTTCCTAAGTTGATGTACAAGGCTGGCCTGTTGATCCTCTTGTGTCATCCCTCAGAGTGCCTGGGATTACTGGCATGGGTCATCGTGCCTGGTTTCCCTCCCC